GATGCTGCTGGGATCGAGTCGTGGGATCCGATCCCACCGCATGTAAAGGAGGCGATGTGGGGTGTGCTGCAGCCACGTCTTGCCCAGGTTAGTCAGCAGCAGCAGCAGCAGCAGCAGCAGCAGCAGCAGCAAGTGTAGCAGCAGCAGCAGTACCAGGAGGAGGAGGAGACAGAATAAGACAAAAGGAGACACAAGAGACAGCAGCAGCAGCAGCAGGAGAATGTGTTTGTTTTTCCTCAGGAGTTTGCTGCAGCACTTGCTGCTTGCCAGGCATCAGTGCAGCAGCAGCAGCAGCAAAAGGCAGCAGCAGAAGGAGAGTTGCTGCAGCAACGCTATGAAGTTTTGTGTCTTGGTCTCAAGGCTATAGAGGTAAGACAGCTTTGCTGCCAGCACCCTGCTGCTGCTGCTGTTGCTGTTGCTGTTGCTGCTGCTGCTCCTGCTGTTGTTGCTGCTGCTGTAGCTGTTGCTGCTGCAGTGGAGCGCGATGTTGCTGTTCCCTGTACGTGTTGCTGCTGCTCCTGCTGCTATGTCTCCTCCATTGTTTGCTTCTTTAGGAACTACAGCTGCAGCAGCCAAAGCAGCAACAGCAACAGCAGCAGCAGAAGCAGCAGCAGCAGCAGCAGCAGCAGCAGCAGCAGCAGAAGCAGAATCCTTTATGTGTATATGTATTTAAATCGATTGCTTTTGTTATCATCGATCAACTCATTGCATCAGCATTCAGACATTCTATTGGTACGTCCTGCTGCTGCTGCTGCTGCTGCTGCTGCTGCTGTTGCTGCTGCTGCACCTGCTGGTGTTGTGTCTGGTGTATATGGGACTGTTGCTGCTGTATCTGTTGATGCTGCTGGTGCTGTTGGTGTGAATGTTGCTGCTGTTGCTGCTGCTGTTGTTGCTGCTGCTTAGGGGAGGAAGTAGAGGTCAGCAGCAGCAACAGGCAGCAGCTGCTGTCGCGGTTAGCAGCAGGAGAAGACGAAGACAGCAGCAGCACTGCTGCAGCACTGCAGCAAGCAGCAGCAGCAGCAGCAAAGAGAGACACTTCTACTGTAGGGGGAGACATAAAAGAAGCAGCAGAAGAATGTCATGTATTCGTAAGTCTCCTTAGGTGTACAGGCAGCACAGCAGCAGCTGCTGCTGCTGTTGCTGCTGCTGTTGCTGTTGCTGCTGCTGCTGTTGCTGCGGCTGCTGTTGCTGATGCTGCTGTTATTTTTGTTGCTGCTGCTGCAGTATCTCCAACATGTACATATAAGGCTTATGGTATATTTTGTGCTGTTGCTGCTGCTGCTTCTGCTGTTGTTGCTGCTGCTGCTGTTGCTGCTGCTGCTGCAGTTGCGCCCACCTGACAAGAGAAGGACGAAGCAGCTGCTGTCTGAGCTGCGGTCTCAATGGACAGCAGCAGCAGCAGCAGCAGGAGAGCTGCAGCAGCACCGCAAGCTATGCCACGCAGCAGCAAATGTGCTGCTGCTGAAGGTACGACAGCAGCACCAACAGCAGCAGCAACAGCAACAGCAACAGCAGAACAGCCCTGCATGCAATGATGCATGCATGCATGCATGCATGCATGCATATTATATGTGTATGTGGGGTGTATGCGCAGCACGTTGGGGTGTATCTTGAGTTTCCTCAAGAAGATTGGGCCCTTGCTGCTGCTGCCGCTGCTCTGCAGCAACAGCAGCAGCAAACACGAATAGAAGGAGTAGAAGAACTTGTTGCTCTTACAGAGGCCCTTGCCAGTGGTGAGGGTTTAGGGTTTAGGGTTTAGGGTTTAGTGTTTATCAGTTGGCAGGAGAAATCTGTAGACAGCAGCTACTGAGGATTAGGGTTTAGGGTTTACGGCTAGCTAGGGTTTAGGGTTTACAGCTAGCTAGGGTTTAGGGCTTAGGGTTTAGGGTTTACGTTTTTCTTTGCAGGATCCGAGGAGGAAATTAAGGAGGCGGCTTCTTCCCTTAAGAATAAAATTACTGCACCAACAAATGCAGCATAAATTACCTTGGGGGCCCCCTTAGGGGGCCCCTAATGGGGGCCCCTTGGGGTCTTAATGGGGGTTAATTAAGGGTATCTATAGACCCGTTATTTGTCGTTAGAAGGTTTAGGGTTTAGGGGGCCCCCCTCTTCCCAATTCCCTTCAAGGGGGGCCCCCAAGGTTCCCTCTAGGGGGCCCCCATGTTCCTTCTAGGGGGCTCCCTTGGCTCATTAAGGGGTGTACCCTCTTGTGGCATTTGAGGGGGCCCCTAGGGGGCCCCTGGGTCCCTTAAGGGGGCCCCTTTTTTGTTTTGTTAAGAAGACTTTATCCATAAGAGAAAGGGAATAATTATAAATATAAATATAAATAGTAAATATAAATAATAAATATAAATATAAATAATAAATAATATATATAAATAATAAATATAAATAATAAATATAAATAAAAATATAAATATAAGTGTAGTGTTAATAATATAGTAAACCCTAGAAGAGGGTTTTATAAAGACTAATAGGTATAGGGTCCCTTTAGGGTTTA